AAGAACATTGTAATTTGTGGTACAATTTCGTAGATATTTTTACAAGAAATTAAATTTTTCAACGAAGATAAAAAAAATTTCTACAAATTTCTACTTCACGTCAATTTTTGGTAGTTATTTATAGAGATTTTTCCCGCCAGGGACGCCTCGACGATCCAACGCGCATTCCACCGCCGAGGGAACGTTACATTTCGACAAAAAAAGTAACTCGGTCACGAGAGAGTTAGGCGCACGCACAATTCGACGCTGGCCAGGTGCCTCGCGTTACCTACAAACCGACGATGCCCGACATAACCTATAAACGCGCACTGAAATCCGCGGTCTCGCGGAGGAGGCCGATCGCCGCGCGTGTCTCGCGTTCGCGCTCGGCCGCGCGCATCGCGCGCACGCGACGATGGTGAAAGTAGCGCGCGCGGATCGGCGATAAGAACGCGCGCGTACACGCGTATTGTCGTATCGCTCGCTCGGCCGTCGCGTCGGTTGACAGATCGACGATAGGCGGCCAGGCGCCTCCGCGGGACAGGACGCCGTCCTCGAGACCGAGAGAGACGGTCTCGAGTCAATCCGGAGTCCCGTCAAATCGCATTAACTGCACGCCAAATTAATGCCGATCGTTCGGACTCGGACTCGGACTCGAGTTTCGAGCGAGATCGCGGAGGAAGAGTCGCGTGCCGAGCCGACAACGACAACGACGACGACGACGACGACGACTCGCGAACTCCGAGGGGGAGGGGGGGGGGCAGGGGGCTGGCGGACGCGAATCTCGCTCGCGACGGTGAAAGCGACCGCGTCCGGTCGCGGGGCAGAGCGCCGACGACCCCTCCGCGCGTCGACTTCATAACCTCTCGCGTGCGCCGCGACGGCGGGATCGATCCTCGGAGCGCGCTGCTCCGGACCCTCGACTCGCGCGGATGCGCGCGAATCGCGGGGGAGCCTCGCTGCGGATCGCCCCCGACGACGGCGGCGGCGGGGATGCGACGGTTTTATAACCTCTTTCTCGCGCGACGTTCCGGCGCTCCGCTTTCTTCTCCCTTCTCTCTCTCTCTCTCTCTCTCTCTCTCTCTCTCTCTCTCTCTCTGTCTCTGTCTCTGTCTCGGAGTTTCATCTCGAATCACGGGAGCGATACCACGAAAGAGAGGGAGAAGGAGGGAGATCATTGACGGGTCTCGGGTTCAGAGACGAACGCGCGTCGAGAAATTGACGGACGGTTCCTTACCGTGTTTCCGTACGATACGCTGCTCCTTGCACGCTAGTCGATTTCACGCACTCTCACACTTTTCATGATCACAGGCGTCTCTCTCTCTCTCTCTCTTTCTCTCTTTGTGCGGGCTCGCGACGTCGGCTACCACTACCGATCGCAACTACCGCGGCGACGGCGACGGCGACGGCGACGGCGACGGTGGCGAGTTCTCGGCGCGAAAGATAACGAGGAGTCCCGTGAACGATGAGGCTGCGACTGCTTCGCCTCACGCCCGACCCGACGTAAACGGAGCTCGTCTAGCTCGCCTGCACGAACTGAGCCGAACTGCACTGCTACACTCGGTGCTGGCGGTGCTGGCGATTGCTGGCGATCCGCGATACGGGGGGAGGGGGAGGCCAGGTTTCTCGCGCATGCGCGACGACGCGGGCCACAGTGAAGTGCGAGGCTCGGGCGAACCCGCCGTTCGCACGCCCGAGGGAATTATCGACAAATTTTCGAAAGATTAGCAAAGACAGTAAAGTATATTGAATTTTTCTATTGAGATATGTACTGAATGCACGCATTGGTTTGTAAATATTGTATATCTGTAAAATAGACGTGTAATTCGTAATAATTTATATATTATAATTTTAGTAATTTTGTATATCTGTGAAATGTGTGTACTTGTAATAATTTGATGACTTTTTAGCTTAAACCAATTATATCGCTAAAAGTCTTGTGATATCTTATATATGTGTTATCACGCCGGTTGCTATTATATAAACGTAAGTCCCCTGTTATGGAATAGGGTCCTAATATGAGATAACGGAGTTTCTGCTAAATTAATAATCATCTGTTGGCTCCACCACGAATTTATTGCCCTTGGAGTGAAATCTGTTTAGCGAAGAATTGACTGCGAGATCGTGTAATCGTTGCGAAAAAAGATTTGCGATTGAATTTGCACATATTAGACTGCTATCTCGTAATAGAGGACTTTCCTCTACGTTAAATTAAAAAAAAGTTCTGTTGAAGATCCTTTCCAAAATCTTGAGCTATTTCTACGTGAAAGCCGCGAACTTCTATCGTTTAATCGAAAATTATTGTCACAGTTTAAGCAAGAAATGTTTGGTCAGTACTGGATTATTATCAACTGTCAAAAAAAGTTAATATTGTAGTGTATGGTTTGATAACCCGTTTCCAAATTTTTCTCGGTAATGTTTTCCAAAGCTTACAATTTAAATTTGAAAATTCAACTCAAATCGCATGTTGAATCGAACGACGGCGCTGTATCTTTGCGCCATCTTCTGAGAGCTGTTGACATTACCTGTTATGAGAGTATTTGATTGGTCGTTAGTTCAAAAGACGTCATATTATTGCGAGTTTACAATGCTATATATTTGTATACATGATAAGGGACGCACCCAGTGAGAAATGATTCGTCGATCGATGTCGAAACGATGTCGAATCGACGTCGATTCGACATCATTTTGACATCGATCGACGAATCATTTCTCACTGGGCAACGTAATATGCAAATAGAGATAGAAGATACAAACAAAAAATACAATATAATAGTATTAATTACTTATGTTTCTCAATGTTTTATTTTTCTGCTATTCCCTCTTGTTCTCCGAGAAGATGGGCAGATTCGTCTCGTCTTCGATCAGGCGAATCAAGCCTACGTGAGGAAGAAATCTGCGTTTCGCAGATTAGAATGGTATATCTCGAAAATAATATTTGTGTGCCATATTGTCTGTGTGTGCGTGTGCAAAAATTGATTTCAGGTTGATCTCATCATTTTGACATCAAATTGATACTTTTTCTCTTTCAGTTGTTCGAATGATTGAAAGATAAACAACGACGACATGTCGACAGCGATGAAAGATCAAAACTGTGACCGCCAGACTATCAACTTGATGTAAAAATTGACTTCAGATCGATCTCATTATTTTGACATAAAATTGATACTTTTTATTTTTCAATTATCCGATTGATTGAAAAAGAAACAGCGACGACATGTCGATATCGATGAAAGGTCAAAACTGTGATCACGAGATGATGAAATTGATGTAAAAATCGATTTCAGATTGTTCTCATCATTTTGCCATCAAGTCAACATCTTTTTTCATCATTCGCTCCTCGCTGGGCTACTTGTTCTCGAAATAGCAAAAGTCCGCTGTCAGATATCGACAGGGTTTTCCTGGCAGAACGTGAGTTGCTCGATGCGAGCGCAGGTCGTGCCGATCACGGTATTCCATTCGAATCTGCCGACGAGCTAATTTGCCCGACTTTTCCAACAAAAAAAAACTCGCAGAAATCAGGGCCACGTTATACCTTCATCCGCTACGCGCCTTCTTAAGCCCGTATCAGACTGCGGATTGAGATTGGGATTAGATTGAAATTGGACCAATCACAGTAAAGCTTACTAATCTCAAGTCTAGCAACCTTCATTCTAATTGGTCAAATTTCAATCTAATCTCAATCTCAATCCGTAGTCTGTTACGGGCTTAAAGCCCGTATCAGACTACGGATTGGGATTAAATTGAAATTTAACCAATCACAGTAAAGTTTACTAAGCTCAAGTTCAGTAACTTTTACTCTGATTGGTCAAATTTCAATCTAATCCCAATCTCAATCCGTAGTCTGATACGGGCTTTACACCTTATTGCGGACACAGCACCGACGTATCGATACGAGGCTCTCCGCACGAGCGAGTATCGATGTCCGGAGGTGGAAGGTATCGATACTCTCAAGTATCGGAGCACGGTCAATCGGAAACATACAGAGTGGGCTCTCGTCGTCGGGCGATTCCGATATCTATCTGTCCGCCTACGAATTACCGCCGCTACGTCGAGTGGAGAGTATCGACGCCGCTGTTCCGCGGTTAAATCCCCTGCCCGAGACTTCTGGGCCGTGGGCGATCGCGAATGGCCGACCTTGCCGTCGCCGCCGCCGTCGTCGTCGTCGTTTCCGTCAGGCGCGCCGCTCGTTACGGGGGGGCCATGTAAATGTCCGTCGCGCCGCGGGGAGACGCGTGTGGCGAGTGATCGAGGCGAAGAGCGAGGCGCGGCGACACGCGCCGCGGGGACGCGAGAGGCGGGCGCGCGCGAGTCGGAGCGTGTCGAGTCGCGGTGGTCCGCGAGGATCCCCAATCCGCGGGGTCGAGAGGCGGCGAGCGATCCGCGCGAGATCCCGTCTCGATTTCTCGCGTCGCGAACGACGACGAGCCGTCGTCGGCTCGGCGACTGTAGGGCGGATACGCGGGATCCGTCATCACCTGAAATACTACACCGGGAAAATCGCGAGCGAGCGAACGAGAGGGAGAGACAGAGAGAGAGAGAGAGAGAGAGAGAGACGACGATAGATGACGGGCGGATGCGTCGCACGACGTCGGTGATGCCGCCGTCGACACGAGCCCCGCACGCGCACCGCTGGCTCTCCACAGACCTGGCCGAGGGTGAACGGGCCGTTTCGCTGTAATGGGCCACGCCGACGGGGCGCGAGGGTGACACGGCTGAGTCCGGATTGCGGGACAGGTGGAGGCTGAGCACTTGCTCCCTTGGCACATCGGCCGTGCCGCCTGGGACACTGCAAGATAACGTTGCGCCGGGGAACGCACAGGATCGCTCGTGCTCTCGAAGTGGAAGCTGCGGTGTCTCGTACGTTGCTCGCCGTCGCTCTGGAATGACGTGTGTGAATACCGCGCGGGACTTACCCGCAGATACAAGGTTGTCCTCCGCGCGGCTGAGTTGGACAATCGCGTGCGGCGTCTGACCGAGACCCCGTTTCTTGTTTCCGGAGGATGACGTACGATATATCGAACGGTCTTTCGAAAAAGCAATCTAACGCACGAGTGAGAGTTGTTGGAGCGTCCGCTGCGCATTTTTGAAGGATTGGTACCAGTTGAGAGACGTTGCTCAGCGAATGTCACTGTTGCAGACCTAGTTATGGAGGATAGCATGAGCGTAAAGTCGATGGAATCAGTGGCGACAAGCGACGAATATGAATTTGTGAACGAAAAGGGTACTAGCAAGCAGCAGCAAGCCCTCTTGGAGCCACCCATGCTAAAGATCGCCAACAACGGCAATCTGGAGGATCTGCAGAACAATCTCCGCGAGGTCTGTACACCCATCGGATCTGTCGCGCCGCGCGCCTCCCTTAATCTTAATAGATAAGCTTTAATCTAGACCCACGTCAGCCGTAAATGCCACAGATTAACGTGCCTATGTTCCATGTTGCGTGACACCCCGCAGATTTTGACGGAGGACTCGAAAATGGAGGGGAGCGAGTTCAAAGTGATGGGCGCTAGCCAGCAGAGCCAGGAGAAGACGAAAAAAGTCGGCCATAGTAAGTTTTACGATGTCAGCTCATGCGTCGTCGCGTCGGAGAAGCAGGACGTTATGAAGCCCGAGGATTATCTCGAGGAGGGTGAGTCACCGGCGTGTGTTTGTAAACAAGAATCAACAGTAGGGTCTGTGTCCGCGGCGCTAGCGCCTGGTCCAAGTTCTAGTTGCGAGATACATACAGCACTCGCTGCTATTCCGTGAAGGCTGCAGGTCGACTGGCTACGCATTTCACTGGGACTTGGACCGAGTTCTAGCGTGTCACATGGACACAGGCCACTACGTACGTGACGGACGTAAGGTCTAAAAGTAACAACGTTCGTGTGATCCAGAATTGAACGCGCTGTCGCACGTCCAGCAGGAATGCACCATCTTCAACGGCGTCACCTATCTGGGAGCAGCTGCCATAAATGCGCCAAAGTCGGAATGCGAGATCCAACGTAACATGAATATATTAAACGCAGAGCAATCCCTGAATTTAGGAATAAAGATTTCCGTCTCGGTGCCGAGTAGCTCGCAAGGTTCGGTTGTGTAAGTGACGCGATCCAAAGCCGAGCTCACGCCGCGAGATCGCCTATCGTATATTGCACGATGAAGTAATGTACACCGTAAATTTTTAGCCTGTACGATGCCGCGACGCAACAAGCCATTGCGCGTTACGAGGTGCAACGTATTTTGTTTTACGCACGCGGCGAGAGCACTGGTGCGTGCGCAGCGTGCTTCGCTTTCACGTGGTCGCACGGTGATACCTTGGAGTCCGCCATTTACCAGTGTCACGTTTTCCGCTGCGATATACCAGAAGCGGTAGGTTTTTATATTATTGCCTTGCGCGCACGCAAATACATAAAGGAATACGACTCTAGTATTTTACATTCATAGATGATACTTTCATTCTAGTACATAAATTAAATCACGTATTAGAGATAAGTGTAATATGTAAAACGATACGTGTCTTATAATGTGTAATTGTTTGATGTAGGTCGGACAAGTGTCAGCCTGCTTTTCGAAAGCATTCCACAGAATACCGCGTTCAATGACGAGTTCTTTAACGGGCAGTGACTTTAACGGTTTCAACGCCGGTGAAAAAGTTAATTCTAGAGTGTTTATCTTTGAAGTCACCATGGAAATCAAGGAAGAGGACGGGAAAGGCGGTTTCAGTACGGTCCCCAAGGATAGAAATTGTTTCAAATTACGAAGCAACGTGGCGAAACAAGTTTGCTTGAGCATCCAGCAAGTGTCCAGTAAAGAAGGCGGAATTACGCTCGAGGTCGAGAGATGTTTCGGAGTTCTCGTTAGCCCCGGGCGAAATGTTAAGCACAGTGATATGCGGCTACTCGAGATGGTAAAGAGAGATTCACACCAGCCAGTTAATTTTATGTCTATTATCAGCTCAGATGTTCGCAATATTACAACAATGTTGCAGCAAGTTAATACTGGACCAATAATGCAAGATAAACAGTGCTATAATATTTGTGGACGCTGGGATCCCGCGGATCCCGCCTTGGAAACTCTCAATATAGAGACACCTAGAGAGGGCAAAATTTTCATGACCGTTGCCGTCGATCTCGTTATCAGAGATATCCGAGAGCCAGTGAGATTTGTGATAGAAACCTCGGTTAAAGTGTTTCCGCAAAACGAGAGATTTTGGTATTTTAATAAAAGGAATCTCGTGCAACAATTTTATCTTAATTCTAAAGAGGTGAGCTGCCCTGATGTATTTTTTATGTGAATTTGCATTTCGTAAATGCTTAGCTTATATTATTAACACGTGTTATTTCCCGTCATTTTCTTACGACAGGTAATTTCTGGGGATGGTACAGAGGTACATTATGAAGTACAAAGCATAGAAACATCTGGCGAATTAGATAGAAACAGGTTAAATCTCGCTCTGAATCTGGCATCTTTAATTAGATCGCCTTCTTTAACTAGTATCGACACGCTTACACCTAAGGAAGAAATAGATTCAGGTAATAAACGTGAATTCCAAAAAGAATTGGCTCGCTGATTCAATAACGTACATGATTTTTGTTAATGTTTCAATTTCTGTGTATAGACGGGGATGAACCTATGTTAAGTGGTACAGGCGAGGTCTCGAAGGATTGCTCAGCGGATGAATTGGCCAGCTGGGCTGAAGTTCTTGACAGCTGGCAAGTTAACGAGCAACGTCCGAAACTACTTATAAAACTGACGAAACAAGGAATACCCGAAGCTTTACGCGGCGAAGTTTGGCAACGTCTGAGCAATTGCGACAATTCGCAGGAGATGATGGACAAATACAGAATGTTAATCACGAAGGTGAGTATTTTAGTATAATTTCATACAATGAAAAGTGATTGATGCTTTTTTTTCTCTCGGAGATGCGACATTAATTTTGATAACAAATACACAGGAGAGTAGCTGCGAGAGCGTAATTTTAAGGGATATTAATAGAACATTTCCAGCCCATGACTTCTTTAAAGAAACGGGTGGTTTAGGGCAAGACTCTTTATACAGAATAAGTAAAGCATATGCTGTTCACGATGAAGAGGTTGGATACTGTCAGGGCCTCAGTTTCTTAGTTGCTAGTCTGTTACTGCACGTAAGTAATTGCTATAAAAATTAACTTTGTAGAACTCTTTACAGATGATACATTTTGTAAGATAATTTTCGACAAACTTAAATAATGTTTTTCTAGATGCCCGAGGAGCAAGCATTCTGTGTTCTGGTCAAATTAATGTACGACTATGGTCTTCGAGATTTATACAAGGATAGATTTGACAACCTTTACATGCGATTTTATCAATTAAATCGTTTAATAGAAGTAAGTGGTGGTCAAATTGTAAAATAATGCGACGTTTACGTGACAACGAATTATGCACAGGTTGAGCTATACTTTCTACTATTTGCTTCTAGGATCAATTGCCGGAACTTTATAAGCATTTCTGTGATCGCGGTGTAGAAACGCACATGTTCGCCGCACAATGGTTTCTAACTCTATTTACTGCTAGATTTCCATTATATCTTGTCTTTCATATCTTGGATGTATTTCTTTTACAAGGACTCGACACGTTATTCCAAGTCGCCCTCGCTCTATTGATGGTAAGCTATTACAAGCAAGTTCGAAACTTTCTAATATATATAAAGTGTACAACTATTTTATACGATATAATTGATATGATTTCTCTCAGATTTATTCCACGAGTAATATATACATACTAAAGAAAAGTAACTTTTTACTTTTCAGCTTTGTAAAAAAGAGTTATTACAACTAGATTTTGAGAGCATATTAAAATACTTCCGGGTGCACTTACCGAAACGGTGCCGAAACGAAGAAGTCGCACGTTATGTTATGAAGTTAGCTTGTTCAGTGACGTTGAAGAAATTGAAGAAATACGAAGCAGAATTTATGACGTTGAAAGGTAATTTCATATTCTACGTTTGAACTGCATACTTCCCTGTTCACCTTCAAACACAATGTTCCATCATTTCATTAGGAAACACTGTACTGTACGTACATACATGCATGTACACTTCGTGTATAATTCAGCGGTCATTGCCTGTTGGTTGTGAATTTGTTTTCAGTGTGGATAGAAATTTTACATATAAACTTTAACATTCAAACTACATTTAAAATTAAACAATCAAATATTTTTGTGTAGCAAGAGCTATTGCTGATAAAACATATATTAGAAAATATGAGTTCTTGAGCTGTGCCATAGGACGTATAAAATTTTTTTTCAGTACTTAGAGAAAATGAATTTTTCTTAAATCTAAAATCAAATACAGTCTCATTAAAATGTATAAAAATATATATTATGTTTTACTAACACGGAAGTAATAGAAATATAGGAAATAAAATTTATCAAAAAATAATTTTATATTATATATTAATTAAATATAAAATATATCTAATCTGTGTGTAGGACAAAATATCGTCCTAATTTGTATAATAATACGCGTCTATATATATTTAACGTAGCTACATGTAAATCCGACAAAATACATACGAGTTAGAACTTCATACTTTCTTAGTCAAAGCATAAAATGCTTCTAGTCTCGTAGCATTCACTGCATTAACCGTGCAGTCGGTATATAGCTTTCTTATTAATAAATGTAGTATTAGTAAAAATTTTGTAAGAAACTTTACACACAGCTCTCTATATTTTAAACGATTTGGAAATGGACATTGTATAATTACTTTATGGTTAGGTGGTGGTCTTGCTTGTCTGTATATTCTCTTGTTTTCCAATTCGGCGAAAGTACATCACCGATTGTTATTAACATAAGAAATTTATTGAATAGAACCCATTTTTAAAAGAGAAGAAAGAACCTGGAATATTTTACTTCGGCGACATTTTTCCAAATTGCTAGGACATACTAGGACTAATGTGTAAAAATCGCTTATCTAATTACCTCAATGTGAAGTTTCGATCTTGGTTTTATTCTTATTTATACTATGCAAGTAATTTGATCACACATCTAGATCTCTTTTATTTTCATTTTTTTCGTTGCAAATAGTTCGCAGTTTAATATAGTATTTCTTGAATGTATTATTTCATGATTAAATGCACACCATCCCGAATATATAATAAATATATATATTTATATATTATAATGAATAATTATTAACTACTATCAATTGATGTTTTATCATAAAGTCCTGTTGATGTTTATTATAAAATTTGCCACAATTATGGGATTTATTGAAACATGTACGGTTCAAGTGTGCATTTGAATAAGGATATTGAAAGCACTTAATGACATATATGTTTTTACTCCATTAATTGAATAACGAACTAATGAGCAACGGATCAAATAATAATTTCCACCAAAATACTCATGTAAAAAATTGTAGTATTGTTATGTTGTATTTTATTTTTTTACGCTATTGTGTTACAATAGCTGTATATGTTTCAATGCGTGCTGTGAATATATAGTATATTAATACCGTGTGTTGGACAATGATATTTCATGTTATCAAACCTTTATTGTAAGTTTAATTTTGTAAAGTATTATTTATTTTTCAACGACATATTACATGATTGGAAAAGCTGATATTACGTTTGTTATTAAAATCCATGCTTATCGGCTGTAGCGCTTGTGTATATCTCTTGTATTGCTTTTTATTTATACATTATTTATTATTGCTTACTGAAAAATAAATCATCTCAGAGTACTTTTAGTTTTGTGAATTACCTATTGTATATCCGATAATATCCTGCTCCTAAGAAATATCTAGTAAGCATCTGCACTTCCTTCCTTCATATATTTTATTCGTTTTCTTGCTGTATTTGGGTATGCATGGCACATCAAGCGAAAATGTCAGCACTTGTTTATACTGTACTAATTACCTCCATCGTATATCTATAGAAGTAGTGTATGACGCGATGTAAACGCAAAAATGCTAGATGATTGTGACTGTAACAGCAAGAGCAAAAGTAAAATAATTTAAGGTATACAATAATATGCAATATAAAGACAATTATCTAATCAAGAGATTATGCCGGGCGCAAATGTGTGAAAATATTGTTACAAAGCTATTGTCTAAATCAATCCCATGTATCACAGGTCGTTGAAGTATGCGTATGCTGATAAGCAGTAACATGATTGTAGGCTGACTAATCATAGAGATAGAAGCTTTCGCAATTGCGTATACTGAAACTGCAATATGTCATTTGTACAAATTTGACCTGATACAATTAATGATACGATAATGTGTACTAATTCTTATAAGAAAATACGATTTCCAATACGTGAATTTTTTCTTAATTGTACATATTGTACAAAGAACAAAGTCAGGCTTTGTAACTTTATAACTGCGCGAAAAGTGTCCCAAGACACGATAAAAGTCGCGAAATGTTCATGGAAAAGCCTCGGCTATCAATATTATTGACACTTAAGGAGATATCAAGCAGGATAAAGATATCCAATATCAGCTGTCAGCGGTTTAAATTTGGCCGTAGTGTATTTCCTACAACAGTATATAGCAAAGCCTGCTGCTCGCGTGTTAACAAGATATCTCTATCTGTCAGTTATGTTCGGACCATCTGCTTTTAACGTATCGGCGGTGCAAGTATGAGCCATGCGACGAAAGAACTAATGAAGAGTGAGAGAAGTGTACTTATATAATGCCTAAAAATGCAATGCTCAGAAATTAGTTCGTGTTGCAACGATTTTTGGAGGAAATACATAAATACACGGTTGAAGATATTATACATTCACGATAGACGCGGGACATTCAAGCACGTTTAGCGAAATATAAATACATGAAATTCTTTTAGCAAAAAATATATAATTGTGGGAAAGAGTGCATTTGTAAAGGTTCTTTTGTAATAACTATGTTATATTTATGCATTCGTGAATATTAGGAATTTATAACTGTAAATTTATAATTGTATATACGAGAGAAAGAAAGAGAGAGATTAGACATTAAGAAAAAGCCCCGACTTGATAAATACAATAAACTCTTGCAAGCTTGTGTAAGAATTGTTTGCTCTTCTTGTCACAGAGGCACAAGAAAATGCTGACGAATACAGTAACGAGGTGGAGCAGCTACGTGGTACAGTGGCCAGAAATGAAGAAGAGAAGCAAAGATTGGAGGTAGAGCTTCTGCAGATCAAAGAGATGCTACAGCGTGAAGTAGCTCGGGCAGATGCTGAAAGCCGCAGAAGCAGCGTTATTATAGCCGAGTATAAGCAGGTATTCACAAGATACTATATGTTAGAACTCAGTTTCAAGTATTACTGAGAATTGCAGGAATATTTATACGTTGCAGATCTGCCAACGTTTGGAGGACGATTACAATGCTGCGAAGACAACATTGAGCGAGCTACGGGTATGTAATCTCGGGTTTAATTTCGATAGCGTTTTATCAAGCACGGACTCCGATAACGATACGTTTCAGGCGAAGGTCTCGAAATGCGAAAAATGTAGGACATGCATAATGGATTCGTCGAACATATTGGCAGATATCGCGCACCCCTTGGAGAACCGAATAGATCCCATGCTTCACAGGGTGCAGGAAAGGGTGCGCGAGCTGGAATTGGAGTTGGCGCAGACCAAGTTGGCGCACGTCGAGGCCGAGTGCCGGAATCAGGTGGGCGACAAAGGACGCATTTTGTACAGCCGACCCTCTAGGGATTGAAGTACAGATCCTAACGCAAATTGTTCGGTAGGATCTGACGCATCAGTTGCACGCCACTGCTTCCGAGCTGCAAGCCGCGCGGAACAGTTGGCCGTGGCTCAGCAAAACCTTGTCTAGTATAAAGGAAGCGGCGAACAAGAGAGAAGTGATGACCCCGACCGTGCTGAGAGATCTGAGACGCGACAGCGCGCCTGGGGGCGATCTGCACCATCTATTACACTCTCGTAGCCGCGAAACGCGCGACAGTCTCAAGGAAGTTGTGTGATGCAGTAAGTATAATATACAATACTTCCTAAAAAATAACATATTTTACTAAAATATAAACAGACAGATTACATAAAACTACGGTTGCTGCATAGTTGCAAGAGTAAAATATTTTTTAAAACAAAAATAAGCTATCTATGTAAATGCTCTGTATCCCAGTATTCGATACTCGTACCATGTTTTCATGTTTTCGCTGTGCAGACAAAATGCTATTGGGAGGAGGAGGAAACGTACATCTCGGAGCCATGTGTCGGGCACGAATATGTGAACATGATGTATGTTCGTAGTTACATATAACGTACGATTTGATCTGGTAACTCAATGTATTCTTTGTCACGCTCCCCCATTCGTATCGCACATCAAGTGCTTCTGATCAGGCAGCCCCATTTACACAACAGCTGATATTACACTGAAATTTTTCGTTATGATCCCGTTACGTTTTAAAAGTAGATTCCTTTCTGTGATTTTTCTTCTTTTTCTTTCTACGCCCCAAGTCTAAATGCTACTGTTAACAGCGATCTTATTTGTTTGTAAGGTTAATATTTTCTACGTTTATTTCTCTTCTTCCTTTTATTCGGCGTATACCGATATATGCAGCGTGAACGCAATGCTGTGTTCGATATAAAAATTTACATAACGCCACGCGGGTTAGTAAGGATGAACACTCTATCGAAAAGGAATCACGTTACGTACACAAATACGGTAAATTATTTACAATAATAGGAAATAAAAGTAAGTATACATGCTGCATTTTGTATGAAACTAGTCTAAGCGTGAAAGGGAGAAAATGCTATAGACTTCTATCTGTACATACAGTAACTTTCGAGTAACAATAGTCATGACAATTCTATTGAACAAACGCGCGATTATGGAAATCAGAATGATATTGTAAGGTAGAGGTAATTATTTCATTTACTTTCCTAGTAATTGTTATTTTATTATCTGATTTTGCCTGGATTAACATTCCAAAATAGCGTGAATGCGTTTTCTTCCACGTGTCCTTATTGTTAAGCTACTCTGCAACAATTTCAATTCATCTGGCGTAATTATATACGTATGTATAGTTTTGGCAATTCTACTGACACCATATTCCAACAATTCTACTAACCCACATATAGCGTTAGGTTTCATATTAAAAGCTTTCACTATCTTAGTTTTATATGTACTTTTGTCGCCGATAATAAGGTATATTTTTATTTTCATGGGACATTAATCATAAAAATGTAGCAGAATAGATGGTGTAAATTATACGGTAGGTGCGAGATATTTATAGTCCCATTTAGTTACACAATTTGCACTTTGTTTTGATAAAATTTGTAGTAAAACAAACGTTACTAAAAGCCATAGATGATGGTATTAAGGCACTACTTAAAAATGCAATTCCATTGATGTGTAATTTCGTCTAGTATTATAAGTGTTTCAACAATAAATTTGCTATATACTTGTAGTACATGACCTCTTGTACACACCTCGACTATCAAACTTAGCTTCGTAAGTCGTGCCATTTACTTACATGTATGATATATTTATTTATACAGATTTACAAGGAAGAATTCAAAGATCACAACTGTTGTGCAAAGAATATTAAAACTATATACATATATATGTATATATGTATAAAGTTGCAAGCATACTTGTGCCATTGTGTACAATAAAATTTGTTGAAAGAATCGATGCATGTTTTTTTATTTCATTTTTTTATTAAGTTCAATTTATTAAAATTATTAACAAGTAATATGTACACGATTTCAAGCAAAGTTTATGGTCACGTTTGACTTATGCTCTAACGAATAACCGCTTGTATTGGGAAATGGAAGACTTTATTTCTGTAAATACTGAAACCAACAGTCGAAATCGTCTAACAGAATCATGTAAAGTCTTAGGCTACATATAAACCATTGTATACCCTGTAATTTCATTCCAATGAAATAAAGAAAGATATCACGTTTCCATGTAAAATATTTAATATTAAGAAGTTCATAACTTTTATGTCATATAATGTGTACATGTTTACCTGTATTAGGATAAAATATATTAATAATATTACATGTTTAAATTTTATATCGATTTTATTTGTCCAAAGTTTTTGCACCACTGCGAACTTAACTATGCAGTTTCAGTCTTAGATAGGAAGTTTTAACGAAATTATCAAAGAATTACAAAAATTAATTTAATATTAGTTATCACATTTGCTATGGATCTACCGGATATCACATAGATATGATACATTACATTCCGTAAAAATTAACATACATGATCATTTTTCATAAATCATGAAACTGTAAGAAAATCTATACATATACCTATATATGAATGTATTGTATGTACAGATATACATACGAACTTATATAGGTATATATGTATAAAATGTTAATATGAACATTATGATAATATGAATAAGAATATTTCATATTCACAATACACGGAAAAATTAAATTAAATTCAATTCAATAATTAATTTGAATACACTTTAATGGTACAGAACTAGAATATGAAAAATTCTTGCAATTATTCAAATGAGAGATGGAAAATAACATAAACTTTCATTGATTTATTTTATGCAATTATTCAAATGAGAGATGGAAAATAACATAAACTTTTATTGATTTATACATTTGCCTTATTATTACTTAAAATACCGTCTAGGCTTGAAGTATTTAATAATATTTCATTTCAATCATATTAAAAATATATAGAAAGAGGTAGTTATTTATCAATATGATTTAAACAAATAAGACTTATGCAAGCATTTTTTAGGATATAATTTATACTTTATATATAAAAGAATACAAATAATATTTCCTAAGATATTTAACCTTTTCAAGCCTATACTGCAAACTTTGTTAGAAGCAGGAAGAATGATATGTAAGTTCATACTGTAATGCTGTTGTAACACGCTCACACATTACCTCCTTCTTTTTCTTTCTCCCTTTCTCATTAACGAACATCTTTTCATTTACCATGTTCATTATCATCTTCCATTTCATTGTAAGCAATATCACTCTCACTCTCTGAGGAGCTACTATCAAAACCTTCATCATGACCCGCATAATTAGCATCATCTAGAAATATAATTATAAATATATTATCTTTAAAATATTATGCGGACGGTATGAAGATATGGATATACAGTTACCTGCAACTTCTTCGGGAATTCTCAGATTTTGTCGAGCTTGCATGTCAAAATCAAGTGGATTCGCCATATCCAATATTCTCAGCAACCATATGGGAAAACCATTTTGCATCACGTAAATATCATTTTCGTTCTCGAGATCATTTTCCAATACATCAATGAGCGGTTGTAAGTTTTCGATGTCATTAGCATCCACAGCCATCATATTGTTACCTTCGTCATCTCTATTGTTATTCGCCAAATCGCCGTTTTCCACCTCAATCGGTTCCAAGACACCAAGTCTCGGCGCTTCCGCAATGCTCGGCGATTCAGATTCTGACATATGATCCTGAGCAATGCTAGATAAATCATATTCTGGTGTTATATCTTGCGCGGAGGCTGAATTCGGGTAACCAGAATCCATGATTTCGGGAGACCAACTGTTCGGAGGTGTCTCAAGCGGAGAAGATGGTTTAGCTTCAACATTGTTTATTAATCCAACAGTATTGGATGAATCTTTGCTCGTACCAACATTCTCTTCACTTTTCAATACTGATGTGAAATGACTATTACTTGTATCCTCGCTATTTTTACAAGATACAAACCTATCGTTTCTTAAAACACTAATTTCTTTGGCACAATCAGACGAAGAGTATTTGCCAACACTTTGTGACTTGGAACTTAATAACTCTCTAGGCGGATTAAGTCCCTTTTTCCTTATACTTGACTGTGCAACGTCGCTAGTCACATCTTCTAAATGTGCTGCTTCAACATGACCTGTTTTTGCTAATGTACAATATAAACTTTCATCTTTATGATTAACACTCTCATTGTCTAGTGATAAGACTTGGTATGTATCTATTCCTTGCACCGCACCATCATGATTGATTATGTCATTTTCCGCGAATTTGTAATTCGTATCTTGTATTAATTTTGTAGAGATATCAACATTACTACATTGCTTATTTTCTAAGCACAAGTCTCGTGTGCTCTCGCTAGCAGAAAAGCCTACGTAGTATTTTGAAGTATTCAACGTAATATCACTGTTTGAAGAAGTCATGTGTGGTTTAATTGTTTCTGCGATACTACTATTACATTTCTCACTAGATTCTAATGAATTACTACTAGTATCTGATACAATTTCCTCAACTTTTTCTATTGTGCCCGATAAAACGCTATTCATTGCAAGCATTAGTTTTTTGTGCTTGGAACTTGCACTAACAATATTAGCAGTGGGTATCTTCGTACGTGGTGAACTTGAATATTTTGGTTTATTATTGAAATTACTACTAGAAGCATTTAAAGTCAGATCTGCCGTATCACTGTCTTCAAATATTTGATTTTTATCTAAAATGTCTCTCGCTTGTTCAGCATTATAATTATAATTTAAAGATGTGTGTGACGAAAAGTTTAATTCGCTTCCTTGTGTATTCTTTGAGTGACTTTCCTCAAAACAAGGTGTATCTTCTACCTTGTCTTCCACAGTAGATTCCTCTGTATTCATAGTTGCTTTTTCAGACTGACAAAAAGTACTGTTTAATAAACATTGATTGTTGATTGACAATTCGTTGTGAAAATATGCGCTAAGATCTTGTAAAGAATTATCCATTTCAGAACTGCAATAAGGCGACACTGGCGACGTCGATGAACGCGAAACGTTTTGTATAGCTCTTGGATCTATCTCGTCATTTTGTAATACAGCTGATTCTATTGTAATACTGTCAATTGAGTTTTCCAATTGCAAACTGTTGAGCGCTGCTAACATGTTAGAAGCAGTTAGAGGAGCTCCTTCTAATTCTTCTAGCTCATTTAACATTAAAGGAATTGAATCACTTGGAAGTTCTCGTTCAGTATACACTGAAGACCCTGCATTATCTCCAACGCCGGAATGTCTAATATTGTTGTCAGTTGCACACGGTTCGTTTGACTGCTGAGATTCTTCTACCAAAGATATTTCGCCATTAAATAAATAAGTGTTTTCATGACAAATAGAATAATTTTCAGGTATTATAATGCTGGGTTCCTCATGCCAACTTTCAAAGTAAGGATTTTCTGCAGATAAATATCCTTCGCTTGCATCTGGTATCTCATTTATGGGTGGAGCTGAATAGTTCAATTTATCTTCGTCTGTAAAATTGTGTTCTTCACGAAAACGGTCAACATCTGGACTTTGCCGAGATAAATATTCTTCATTTGCACCTGCAGGCATC